CTGTACCACCCGTCCGCTGAAGCAGTAGCCTCGATGGTGATGGACCTGCCATACAAGATCGCGAACTCGATTGTCTTCAACCTCGTGCTGTACTTCATGACTAACCTACGCCGCGAACCTGGTGCCTTCTTCTTCTTCTTGCTCACCACGTTCCTGGTCACGCTCACCATGTCTATGATGTTCCGCACTATCGCCTCGTCGTCCCGCACACTCTCCCAGGCCATGGTGCCGGCGGCTATCATCATCCTGACGCTCATCATCTTCACTGGTTTCGTTGTCCCCGTGGACTACATGCTCGACTGGTGCCGGTGGATCAACTACGTCGATCCCCTTGCCTATGCGTTCGAGTCACTGATGGTTAACGAGTTCCACGGCCGCGAGTTCATCTGCAATGCCTTCGTCCCTCCCAAGACTGAGGCCTTCGCCAAAACCCCCGACTCGAGCCGCATCTGCAGCGCTGTCGGTGCGATTAGCGGTACTGACCTCGTTCTCGGCGACGACTACCTGCGGCTTCAGTACAAGTACAGCTGGAGCCACCGGTGGAGGAACATTGGGGTCCTCATCGCCTTCATGGTCCTCTTCCTGATCACCTACATCGTCTCGGCCGAGCTTGTCTCCGCGAAGAAGTCCAAGGGCGAGGTCCTTGTGTTCCGCCGTGGATACAAGCCCGCCGCCCTCAAGGAGAAGAAGGGTTCGGATGACCCCGAGGCCATGGAGGCTCAGGTCGGGCCCATCACCACCAGGACTACCATCGATGGGCAGGGTGGCAACATCCAGGAGTCGACCTCGATCTTCCACTGGAAGGATGTTTGCTACGATGTTAAGATCAAGGGGGAGGATAGGCGCATTCTGAACAACGTCGCCGGCTGGGTCAAGCCTGGTACCCTGACTGCCCTCATGGGTGTCTCAGGTGCGGGTAAAACCACGCTCCTCGACTGCTTGGCCGACCGTATCTCCATGGGCGTCATTAGTGGTTCCATGCTTGTCGATGGCCACCCGCGTGACGCCTCGTTCCAGCGCAAGACCGGCTACGTACAGCAGCAGGATCTCCACCTAGAGACCACTACGGTTCGCGAGGCCCTTAACTTCTCCGCTCTCCTCCGCCAGCCCGCCCATGTTCCCCGTGAGGAGAAGCTCGCTTATGTCGAGGAGTGCATCAAGCTTCTTGATATGCAGGAGTATGCCGACGCCGTCGTTGGTGTTCCCGGCGAAGGTCTCAATGTCGAGCAGCGCAAGCGTCTCACTATCGGTGTCGAACTCGCGGCCAAGCCTCCCCTTCTGCTCTTCGTTGACGAGCCCACCTCGGGTCTCGACTCTCAGACCTCATGGGCCATTCTTGACCTCCTTGAGAAGCTCACCAAGAGCGGTCAGGCCATTCTCTGCACGATCCATCAGCCCTCTGCCATGCTCTTCCAACGTTTCGATAGGCTCCTCTTCCTCCAGAAGGGCGGCCAGACGGTTTACTTTGGCGATATCGGCGAGGGTTCTGAGATTATGACGTCGTACTTTGAGCGCATCAGCGGAACGAAGTGCCCTGAGTCGGCCAACCCCGCTGAGTGGATGCTCGAGGTCATCGGCGCCGCGCCCGGCTCGGAGACGGACATCAACTGGTTCGATGCTTGGAAGGCAAGCCCGGAGTGCGCACAGGTTAACGCCGAGCTCCAGAGACTCGAGGACGACCGCGGCCTCGCGCCCTCAAAGACGCACGACGCAGCCAGCTACAGGGAGTTCGCGGCGCCATTCGGCGAGCAGCTCCGTGCCGTCCTGCACCGCGTGTTCCAGCAGTACTGGAGGACACCCAGCTACATCTACTCCAAGATGGCTCTCGGCACCTTGGTGGCGCTCTTCATCGGTCTCGTGTTCCTCAACGCCCCTAACACGATCCTCGGTCTCCAGAACCAGATGTTCGCCATCTTCAACATTCTCACCGTCTTCGGCCAGCTCGTGCAGCAGACCATGCCCTACTTTGTGATCCAGCGAGACCTCTACGAGGTGCGCGAGAGGCCGTCGAAGGTGTACAGCTGGAAGGTGTTCATGATAAGCCAGATCATCGTCGAGCTGCCCTGGTGCATCCTGCTGTCCGTGTTTATGTACGCCTGCTGGTACTACCCCGTGGGCCTGTACAACAACGCCTCCGAAGCGGGCCAGCTCCACGAGCGCGGAGCCCTCACGTGGCTGTACCTGATGGTCTTCCTGCTCTTCACGTCCACGTTCACGGACCTCATCATCGCCGGGTTCGAGACGGCCGAGGCGGGCGGGAACATCGCCAACCTTCTCTTCACACTGGTCCTCATCTTCTGCGGTGTCCTCGCGACGCCGGATACGATGCCCCGGTTCTGGATCTTCATGTACTACCTCTCGCCCTTCACGTACCTCGTGTCGGGCATGCTGTCGGTGTCGATGGGAGGCGCGGCGGTGACGTGCGACGTCACCGAGTACCTCGTCATGCCGCCGCCGCCGGGGGAGACCTGCGGGGAGTTCCTCGGGCAGTTCGCGGCGCAGGCGGGCGGGTACCTGCTCAACCAGTCGGCGACAGACCAGTGCCACTACTGCCCCATGGCGTCGACGGACACGTTCCTCACGGCTGTGAAGGCGGAGTACGGCGACCGGTGGAGGAACTTTGGCATCATGTGGGCGTACATCATCTTCAACGCCTGTGGCGCGCTGGTGGTGTACTGGCTCGTCAGGGTGCCCAAGAAGGGCGGCCTCTTTGGCAAGAAGAAGACGGAGTAGACCTGCTTCTGTCCTCGGACGAAGGGCGTGGGAGAGGGGAAGGAAGTAATTACGGCCTCTTTGGATTGGATGGGATATATGGTTTCATTTTTCCGCATTTTTCGGGGGGGTTTTGTAAAACTCCCTATTTTCTAACATCTACTTCCTACTCATTTTCTACGTCATATCTTCCCTCTCACTCTTTCTTTTTTCCTTTTTTTTTATACTAGATTTGTGCTGAGCATAGGCATAGATGTGGACTGATCTGTACATCAATCATCGTCGTCGTTGATAGACTTTTCTTTCTTTTGAGTAGTTTCGTTTAGGTTACAAGGTCCTACGGGATTAAGAAGTAAAGAAATTCATAAAAGTTTCGAAATAGCTGTGGGGTTTAATGTGTCTCCAATGTCTAATTCGCTCGGTCACGACTCGAGTTGAGGGGAGTCGTGTGAGTTACTCGAGCCGGACGGACGAAACAGAACGCCTTCCGTCGAGTCTGCCTTGTCCACCTCATTTGTTCATCCCTTCCGCTTCGTCCCTTTGCGGTCGAGAAGGATTATACGAGACCAGACCGACGTCCCGTTCCCCGGAGCAAGTGGTCTGAGGATCGACGGGTGGGAAGATGTGCGAAACGGGGTGTTCGCGCACGGATGGGAGTCATATTGGAGCGGGCTGGTTTTGTGAAACGTGGGAGGGAGATCCATCGGACGATGTGCAGATGGGTGAGCTGACGTCCGGGTATAAGTGATGGTTGAAGCATATACACGACAAGGATGTATAAGGTATACGTATATAGGTCGAGTGGAATCTACATACGAGTCGAGTAGAGCAATCCGGAGAACTTAAGTGCTCGAGATTGAAAGATATACCACACTTCTCGGTGAATTTTTCATCCGGCGACAAAGCGGCAAATAAAAGGAATCAAAGAAGAAAGAAAATAATAGAATGAACGACGCGAACACCGGCCCGCGGAGGGCCAACTCGACGAATCCGCGCCCGGGACAGTCGTCGTTCCCGCGGACCTCGCAACGCGGGGGGCACAACGGATCGGCGCAGCAGTCCCGGAACCAGAACGAGAGCGGGGGACAGGGTCAATACCAGGGACAGGCTCAGAACGACGGGTACTACGCCCAGAACAACGGGTACTACTCCCAAGGGACGTACTACGCCCCGCCGCCTACGAGCTTCGCCTTCGCCCGCTCGCGAGAGAGCTTCTTCCGACGGGATGCGACGTCGATGTTTGGCGATGGGTTCTTCGGCCCCGGGGCCTTTGGGAGGGGGTCGGAGGGGGGTGTGTTTGGTGGGGGGTTCGGCGTCGGGGGTGTGACGGGGAACCTGACGGGGTTTGTGCTCGGCGGGGAGAGGTCGGGGGGCGGCGTCCGGGGTCTTGGTGCGGGGGGGATCGGGATCGGGGGATTTGGAGTTGGGGCTGGGGGGGTCGATATCGCGGGGATTAGGGTGCCGTTGGGGGTGAATATCACTGTCGCTAGGGAGGAGAGGAAGGAGAGGAAAGAAAAGGAGGCTAGTGTTGTGGAAGAGGAGGAGGACAGTCCTGCTGACGCGGACTAGTGCATTGGTGGCGGATAGGTTTCGTGGCGCTGGGCTTAGTGCGTCTAGCACTCTGAGTGATTGGTATCATCCCCAGGGCCTTAGTACGTCTAGTAATCCGAGTGATTGGTGTCGTCCCCAGCCTCTAAAGGTGTGAAGTACCCTTCCCCGGTGTTCCGGCCCTTCGGCGCCCGTGAGCCGGAAACGGCCCCACTTTCGGAGAGCTCTCATTCCAGCGCCCGCGCCCGTTTTTGGAAAAAGCACACATTCCAACCGCGGGGGAGACCTCGATATTTCTTTAGGTCGGAGAAGAGGCGAAGCAAAAATGAATTTATTTTTGTCAACCCCTTTCCCTTTTTTTACTGTTATCATTTGGCCTCGTGGTGTTGAACAAAAAGCTTTCGCGAACGTTCAATGAGAGAGCAAAGCGGTTGACCGGCGCTCGCCGGACAGCTCCGGGGCCTTACCATGGGATTTGTGTGCGCAGTATTCTCGACAATGAGCTACCCGGGGAGGAAGCAAGAAGCGCCGTACGAACTGTACCACTTCAGATACGGCGTCCGTAGCTAGAGACAAAGAAGTCCCGCCGAGGCGCTCGATTTGTTTCCCCCTCCCCGCCCTCGAGGTTTGTCCCTCCAGCCCTCACTCGATCCCCCATTGTTGGCACGAGTGTGCGGATTCCTTCCACCGGATCGTTATCGAGCACGGGAGAGCGCATTTGCACAGCACACAACAAGGCAGCCTTGGTGGTCTAGTGGTATGATTGTCGCTTCGGGTGAAAAATCCCCATCACGATACACGTGGATGTGACAGGTCCCGGGTTCAAATCCCGGCTAAGGCCCGTCTTTTTTTATGTTTTTCTCGCTTTTTATCTAGCACGATCGAAGCTAGGTGGAAGGACTCCCTTGTAGTTGCCTAGGCACGCATGCTTTGGGCGCTCAGTGTGGGGAGGAGGAGGGCTGTCGAAACAACTCGTTTTGGCCGTGTTAGTGCTGCTTGCGAAATGGAACAATGACATTCTGCGAGGTATGATCTCTTTGCGGCAACCTATACATCGCAAGTCGAAACTTTCCCTTTGTCTATTCTTTTGGTTTCCGGTTGTTTCCCTAACCTGGAAGGAGGGGGGCATCCATGGGTATTTAGTCGCTAGTTGCCCGGAATGCTCTGGTTCGGTTTCAGAAGAAGGGGGTAGGAGAACAGCTCGCCGGAGAGAATGGGAATAATCCATTCAACATTCAATGAGACGTATCTTCCGAAGAGGGGGCACTGGCATGTCTTCAGGACAGGACAAAGAGGATCGCTTAAGGCCGCTTTCTCAAGAGCGTACCGCCCAACATCGTAGACTTCGTCGACTGGGACTTCTTGAGCCTTGGTTTCGAAGATCGTGAATTCCCCCCTGGCCCCCCCAAATATCCCAATCGTGATCTAATCACGCACTACGGCAAGCTCACCGGAGGATCGTAAAACATAAAACAGACAAAAGCCCCTTACTAAAAAGAATGAAGGTCGCGAAAGCCCAGCCTCCTAGCGACATCGATCTCGGCACGCGGGAGGCGAACTACTGCCTCGAGCACTTCCTCGCCGCCGCATCGCGCTACTACGCCTCCGCGTGCCCCCTCGCCGAGGAGCTCCTCTCCCGTGCAAACCGCCTCTGCTCCAACGAGGCCAAGAGGCTATCCGCCCCCGTGCGCGTCCAGCCGTCCCGCGTGGTGAAGAAGCGGCCGGCCGGTCCGCCGGGGCAGACGGAGGATGAGTCCCGTCGAAGGTTGGGTGTTGAGAGGAAGATCAGAGGGCTGATGTCCGCTATGCCGATAGGAACTGATGAGAGGGGGGCGGTGATGGGCAAGGGGAGGTGGATGGGGGAGTTGAGGGCGAGGGCGGAGGGGGAGGTTGCCCGGAAGGCGGCGGAGAGGTATATGGCGACGGCGGGGGCTTGTGTTTTTGGGGCTAGGACGTGGAGGTGTCGGGATTGTGAGCGGGAGGGGAGGGCGGCGCCGGGGGCCAAGACAAGAGCCGGGACCCGGGCGGGGGGGATAAGGGGTAGGAAGCGGAGTATGGGGCTCGCTGTTGCGCCGGTGGCGAGGATTGAAGGAGAGGTTGCTTTGGTTGCTGGGATAGGGTGGGGATACTGGTGGGGGGTGGATATACCGGAGGAGGAGATCGTGAGGTTTGGGGGGCTGGGGTTTGTGGTGGATGTCTGCGGGCATGCACTTCTGATGTTTGTGTAAGGGTATGGTATGTATGGCGTTGATGTTCCTGACTACTGGCTAAGAGTACGGGAATCGGAACGTTTACAAAGCGCCTCTCTAGGAAGATTAAACCCCAGGGGTTTAGTTTCCTGGGCGTTCTCACTTATAGCTGGGGCAACCTCTGCTGCCGTCTAACACGAGGGAGTAAACTGTTTCACGTAGAGCATGATTCCTGGAGAGTACGGTTTTACCCACCCGAGCTCCTGCTGCTCTGCCCCTCCCTTACACCAAGAGATGGTAAGGCTGCGACTTCGGAGCACCATGCCGAGGACATGTTGTCCCACCCACCCAGCCTCAGTCAACCACACCATCTGAACGCCAACTACTACCAGCTAAACCTCCGAGAAGATCAAAGGCGGTTAGACCTCCTTCGCCAAGGGACGCCCAGAAGGCAAACCAGGCCAGGAAACCACCCCAGAAATCCGGGGGAGACACACAAACAGGCAAGGGGTCCCCTTTCCCAGCTGTCACCCGAGTCAGAGTTTAGTAATAGCAAAGCCAGCCCCAAGCCCAGCCCGGCCAACCGGAAGACTGTCCTCCCCTCCCTCCCCTCCCACTCCCACTCTCTAGCCTCCCTGTTCCCAAGCCTCCCCCCCGCTGATATCCCGCTCGGTACCGGTTTTGGGCTTGGGGGAAGGCTTGAGGGCGTGGGTGTGGACGTGGTGGATGACCTACCGCGCGAGGCATGGTTCGACGCACATAAGCCGCAGTGCCGGGCTTGCCGCACAAGTCGCGCATGGGTTAGGAAGGGGGGAAGGGGGAAGGGGCGAGGGGGCCCTGATGTACCACTTCCTAGAGGTCACGCGGGGGTTGATACCTTGTTATCTGATGGATGGTTGTGGCCCTTGGCGGGATTTGTGCGGCGTGGGGCGCTCAGCGAATGAAGATGAACCCCTCTCCTGTCTTGCCCATGTATCGTCACTAATACCTTGTGTTAGAGGGTGGGAAAGTGTGGGAGAAAAGCGGGACTAAAAGCGGGATCAGCGACAAGTGAGCAGTTTAGCGCAGTTTTTCTAAACTATCTCCTCTCTATGGACGCTGCCTCTCTCCGCGTGGTACTTCGTAAACCCGGAGCCACCCGTCTATGCTATATAAAGCCCAACTCCGAGCCGCCCCCCCTCTTTCTCACGTCTCGAAGTTCTAGACCACCGACACCAAATCTCACAGCTCAGCTTACATTCAAATCACAAACCTCCTAAACTCTTCTCCCGAGAATACCAAATCGTCAACATGGGTGACTGCGGATGCTCTGGCGCTTCTAGCTGTAAGTGACAAGCTAGATCTACCCCTCTTCTATTACTATTTACCCCTCCTCTTCCCCTCCATGTCATCGCCCACCTCACTCACCTCCGCTCCCCTGTTCTTGCTCATAACGAAATCTCGCAATGCTAACCACCTCAAACAGGCAACTGCGGCGCTGACTGTACGTATCTTCACTAACAGCACCGAACTTGTCGCCTTTTTCTGCCCCTGCGGCGCGATAAAATCCAACCTTCTTTTCTCTCCGGTTCGCGAGCTAACAGCCAGTTTCCACACCACAGGCTCCTGCGCCGGATGCGGAAAATAAACCGATCTCGGAATCGTCATGATGTCTGCCGAGAGTTCTTGACGCCTGCGTTTTGCACTGCGAAGCCTCTCTTTTTCGTCCTTACCTCTTCTTGAGACGCTCTTATTCTCTTGCTCTATCCTGTCCTTACCTTTTTGGTAATACTGTATTTCGTCGATGGCTTGGTTATCTCAGATTGCATGCAGCGGGGTGTATCATCGGAGCAGGGGTTGATCGGCCGAGGCGGGAGTATGGATGGTGGGTAGATGCAGACGTAGCTCCGATATCTCTTGACGTTCCTTGAATAGCAGGCTCCGAAGACTTGGCTCTCAGTGTTCCCCGCCGTGTGACCCGTAAATGAATTAATAGGCAGTAGCATTCGGATGGCACAGGCTGCCGCCGAACTGACCACAGAGTGCTCTCTAGAATTATTCCATATTTGGGCGTATGTGCATTTAGATAAGCCGGTCATAACCTCTGAGAGAGCATCTTATGGCTGCTGGAAAAACATGGTACTTGGGTACTTTGTGGACGGGAGGTGGAGGCCGGACGGACCCACAAGTTCTGGCTCGCTACCGAGCTAGTTTCCTTAGAATATTGCCACAACCATGCGTGGCTCAACACACGCGCCACACCTGCCGCGCCGCGACCACCAAAAAAAAGTTCACCTCAATCATCTCCCCAAGAGACCATCTCAAAGGACCGCATCAGAGCACCCAGACCGCATCACAAGGGTCACTCCACCACCACTCCACCACCAAAATGCGTCGTCTACCGAGGATACAGCGCCTCCGCGCCCTCCAGAAAACCCCCGCCACCCCCTCCGCGCCCTTCCGATACCTCTCGACCTCCCGCCCAGCCCCCTTCCGAGCTTCCCCCTGCCGCCCCGAGGACAAGAAGCAGCGCCAGGAGATCCTCGAGGCCCTCGAGCGCGACCGCCAGTCCGCCATCTCACTACAGTCCGAGTCCGAGCTCGTCGACGCCGAGGAGTATGAGCCCTCCATCCCCTGCACCCGGATCGTCGTGCCCCCCGACTTCTCGTACGCGCCGTCACCCAAGCACGCGGCGGACTACGTGCCCGCCAAGAGTGTCGAGGAGCTAGAGGAGGTCGGAGGGGTGGACCAGTGGTGGGAAGAGGCGGGCCACTGGGGCGAGGCCGACGTGCTGCCCGCCTTCTCGGGGAGGACGGGGAGCAGCAAGGTGCTCGAGCCGAGCGTGCTGGAGGTCCTGGTGCGGCAGGCCGTCGTCGAGGCCCTGGTCGTGCAGGGGAAGGCGGGCGAAGAGATGCTGATGGGGAAGTGGGAGGCGCTGGACAAGGCGGCGATGAGCAGGGCCGTCGGCGTCGAGGTCGCCGTGTCGGAGTCCGGCGACGTCACGCTGAATGGCGATCTTAGCGGCGTGCTCGCGGGGCTGAGCGAGAGCGAGCCCGCCTCCGAGCTGGAGTCCGAGGAGCTCGTCCTGACGGGCGAGGAGGCTAGGGAGATACTCAAGTCTGGTGACCGCGCGTGGCGGAACGTGCCCATCACCAACCCGGCTCTGAAGTTCGCCGTACGTTTCTGACACGCAGCACCATCCCCCCCCCCCTTTCCACCCCCAAAAACCTCAATTCACCAGCTAACAAGGCGTCTCCTCCCTACAGATCCACAAGCGCGTTTACCAACTCACGGGCCACTACCTCGCCGACGCCAAGCTTGCGCCCCTGCGCACGGCGCAACACCTCCTCACCGTCCTCAGCCGCCCCGCCACGAAGCCCAAGAAGGTCCTCGAGGAGATCCAGTCGCCGCGCGGCCGCGGCTCGGAGCTCCTCGACCTCCCCAACGTCAAGGTGTACAACCGCCGCGTGACCCCCATCGACAAGGAGGTCTGGGTGGGCCGGTGGAAGGTCATCGAGGACGAGCTCGTCAAGAGGGGGCTGCCCGTCACCGGCACGGGAGGCGTCGGGAAGGCGAGGGAGAAGGACTGGCTCATGGGGAAGCCGTGAGCGGAGAGAGAGTTGGGCTGGTTGGCTCATGGGGGGTTGGGATGTACGAATATCTTAGGGCATGCGCCCGTCTTGGCATGTGTGTGTGTGTCTTGGAGGGAGAACGTCCAGTTGTAACAACTTTTTACCAGGTGTATAGATGGGTTGGACGGGGGTTCGTGTATAAAGCCTTGTGCAAAAATAAACCACAACGTTTTTTCTTCTTAGCCCGTTTGGCGACCACACTCCTATCCGTTCAAGACTGGGGCTACGAGCTCGGGGCTGACACCCCCTCCTAATCAAGTTCTCACAAACATACACTACTCGATGCAACATTTGACTTTGTATTACCGAAAATTCAGTTTAGGACTTGGGTCTGATGTGCAAGGTACCCATCTCAACCCTACTCTGGACCTCTCTCCTCCCGATACCACGGAAGCCCATCGGCCAAGATACTCATCACATCCCGGCACCCAGCCCCCCGGCCTGACATCGTATTGCTTAAGCCACTATACCCCAGACCTAGTTAGCACACGCCTACTACAGGGGTAGATATCGGGTGGCATACAGAAGATGAGTGTCCCGTTGTCATTGCCGATCCTCTCGGCGAGGTTCAGGACGGCGGCGACCCCTTCCTCCTCCCCATTCCCCAGGGTGGCCCGGAGAATAGGGACGTCGGTCGGGTTCCCCTCCTCGTCAGGCTCCCCGCTGGGTTCCAGGTTGAACTCGAGATCGCTCGCGGTCTCGGAGAAGTTGGTGCCGCCCCACTCGAAGGAACCTAGTTTGCGGGTTGGGGGATTAGCTACACCTCGCTCTTGTCCCATGATGGTTTTGGGAGACGGACTAAGTTCATCGGTGGAGGGAGGAGAGGGACAGGAGGGCGATAGGAGAGGGAGAGGAGATGGATAAGAGAGAGGATGTGTGTGAGTTACCCCAGCTGTTTCCAACGTAAGCATCAAGGTTAAGCTCGGCCTCAACCCACTCGCCATCCGCGTTGGCCAGGGTGGCTCGGAGGACCGGGCCATCCATGGAGATGTCCTGGGCGGAGAGATGGAAAGACATTGTTACGGTTTGATCGGGATGATGTCGGTGGATTTGGGGAGGCTGATATTGTGTCTAGCAGACTAAAGTCTTTGGGGATCCCTCATCTCTGACGGCCTTACCTGCCCCCCCTTATATATATCGCGAGAGGGCCAACTCCACCTACCCTCACCATTCGATGCAATATCCCGAAGGGAGCCCTCCGGGCCTCCCCGCATCACAAACGGGGGACGTGGTGCCACGTGCCGGCGTCAAATGGGCCTCTCCTCCCTTTTGTTACACTGCAAGATATTGGCAAACGACCTATCCAGTACGCCCTCACTCAACCCCTCCACTCTTCGTGCTCACATTACTCCACATCATAGGCCCGCGAAGAAAAACGCTTCGGCCCCTCCGCGCCTTACGGGCAGTTGCGGGAGGGGGTATTCCCGTCTTGGCGGGGCGTTGACGCGGCTCCCGCCATCTGGTCTATCCTAATCGGGTAGCCTTTCGATGCCAAGACGTAGCAAAACGGGGCAGGACGCGCGTAAGCCTAAATACTCGCTCTTCGCCCGTCGCTTGTTGGTTTTCGGATGCAGGGCCAAGACGATGGCGAGATGTGTCGTGGCCGCCAAGACATGTCGTCCTGTGTTGGACAGGAGGGGTGAGTGGCACGGCGTTGGCGGGAGGCGGCCGGAGGCAGCCCGGGAGGGAACAATAAATCACGACCCCGCTCGGGCCCGGGAGGCCTCATTGAGAATGTTTCGCCTGTAGCTATTATAATGGGAGAGGAGAGGAGGCATGGGGGTGGTGAGGGTGGGTGACCGATATATAACTCTGAGCGAGGTGTGATGGCCTCAGAACGATCCCACTGATTGGTTAGAGGCTAGGTCCAAACGAGGCTGCGGATGTCCTACCCCACGGGGGGAGGACATACACGCCATGGGGAGATGATAATCCCGCATGGATGGTACCCTCACTATTTGCCCAGCATTGTGCATATGAGGCGAGAAGTGAGGATTCAAGCCAAGAGGCGGGAAGGATACGGCCTGGACTGCTGCTTCGGGAGGTAATACAAATAGCTGTACTGTGTCTTCATGGACATGTCGAGCCTTGTTTTATACCTGGGATGATAGGGTGGGAGAATTCCTTGAGCAAGTTATGATAGGGCTGGCTTCGATTCAAAGACGTCTTGGTGTCTATGTGGGAAGTGAAGGGACCTGGGATGCTTGCCCATAACTATGAACGAAAGAAACTTGAGGCTGGTTGTGCCGGCGTCGTATTCGCTACCGAACGTGACAAGAAGGGTCTCAGCTAGTAGCTCGACATCTTCTCCGGTGTCCTGCTCAACAAGCTTATCTTGAGGCTGCTGAGGGTTCTTGATAGCAAGGCCGGGCGGCAAAACACTCTCTCGTCCGAGGGGATCATTGGAGCGGGAACGTGGTCATTGATGCCAACGACGGCCAGTATCTCGCCTTTGAAGGCCAACTGGACCTTGACAGGCTGCTAGACATCACACCCTAGCAACTCTCGATTTTTGTTTCGTGCGCGGGCGTTTGGCTGCCATTCAAGTCAAGACGATTCGACACGCACGTATCAGCGCTCTTTGCCATGAGACGACGACTCTCTTCTCCGACAGTTGGCTTTCTATTAAACACCGCCCGTGTCGTGGAACGTAGTGACTATCTCAGGTGCTTCACAAGGTCCCTTGCTGTCATGGGACACCTGGTCTGGAGATATTGTGAGCGGGCATATGACCGAAACAAGGACTTACACTTATAACACTAATACCATGACAGCGGGAGGTACTAGCCAGCCCACCCTTAACTAGTCCCTGTCCGTCGTTCATTAATTCTTCTTGGAAACTTGGCCTAGGGAATCTGGTTGTGGTAGACGGAGGAACAAGATGTCAGCTAGTCTGGTCATCTAGACCAAAAAGGAAGGAAAATAAAAAAGAAAGGAAAAAAAAATGAACCCAAAGCGATTTGAACGCTTAACCTTCAGGAACTTCCAATTTCTGGAATCTGACGCGCTACCGTTGCGCCATGGGTCCCTAATTTCCGTTCTGGTAGCAGAGATTATCATTGACCACCCAATCACCCGATCACCAGCAGCGCGGGCCGATCGAGTGGCGACCAGGTGCAGATGACCGTCATAGGTCAACTTGCCTTTGGCTGGTCAAGATCGGCCGTCCGCTTACTCATCGGCTTGACATTCGCGGCCAGTGGATTGACTTCCATCGTCATCTCAAGCTACGACCTACGAGTAACGTCGGCGTAGCCTAGCTTCTGTCGTCCTCCAACGCCACAGCCCCAGCGAGTCACAATTACCGCGCTGCGCAATCTCAGAAAAATTCCAAAAAATGGCGCGAATACAGCTCTTCGCGCTGCTCCTGGGAGCGTTTCTTGCTCTCGCCGCAGCATCCTGTAAGTCATCGGCCATCCCCTTCGTCCCTCACAATGCGCCCACGCGCCAGCTAACCAGAGCCTCCCACCCATCTAGCACCCCAATCTTTCTGCAAATGCACCTGCTTCAAGAACAGCACCATAATCCCACTCTCCACCAACCGCCCCTCCCAGCTCCTCCTCCGCTCCCTCGACCCCCTCGACGCCTCTACCCCCGAAGCCCCCCGGCCAGCGGAGAGGCGGTGGGAGGACGGGCACCTGGCGAAGAGGGCCTCCCAGGACTGCCTGGGCTGCACCAAGAAGTTCTGCCGCGACCAGAACCTCCCCTTCTGCCACGACGCGACGGACGACGACGTGTCTACCTACTGCTTCCAGCGGGACAGCAAGAAGGACAGGCTCATAGTGTGGGCGTTCATACTCGGGACGCTGGGGCTTCTGGGGTGGGTGGCGTTCACGAAGTTGAGGGAGGCGAGAGGGCTGACGGGCTCTGTGTTTGGGAGGTTCTCCAGGAGCGCGGCGGCGGGTGAGGAAGATGGGGGCGGCGCGTATCGGCCTCTTGGAGGGGAGCGGTGATGGGTGCCAAGGTGACCTGGCGTGGTTGGCGGGCGGGGGTGTATAATGGGTTCACACACTTGGCTTCTACCGGGTATCGGCGTTCGGGAGTAGATGGGGCCCCGTTTTATCTTCTGGGGGGGGGCGGGGAGGGTTTCCTTGGCATATATATCATTTAGTTCGTCCCTGTTAGAGAGCGGTCATTTGTTCTTGTCTCATGCAACGCATATCATCCTCTGGGAACTACTAGAACGGCCAGTAACTTTGTCTTCTTTTTCTCCTCGTAGCCCCGAAGATATCTTCATTTTGTCCGGAAGCCGGAAATGGGAAACCTGACGCCAGAAAATTTGCACTTTTCTTTTTTAAACAAAGAACCCTGTCTTTGCTTTATGCTCCAATATCCCTGCTCCCTCCCCACCTCCCCACGCTTCCATTCACAAAAACCAAAACCAAAAACCAGCGTCTAAAAACGCCCCTCTCCTCTAAGACGACTTCCCCGAGACCTCGGTTCACCATTTTGGCTAAGAAACTCCTCTTATCTTTCTCTCTTCCTCTCTCTACGCCGACCCGTTCTTCGAGTTCGCCTCGCGGCGCGCGCGGACGGCCTCGGCGAGCAGCTCGAGGGTGGTGACGGTGGTCTCCCAGGAGATGCAGGCGTCGGTAATGCTGACGCCCTTCTTCAGGCCGGCGGGGCCCTCAGCGGGGACCTTCTGGTTGCCCTCGTTGATGTTGGACTCGATCATCAGGCCGACGATGGCGGTCTCGCCCTCGCGGACCTGCTCGGCGACGGTGGCGGCCACGCTGGGCTGGTTGCGGTGGTCCTTGTTCGAGTTGCCTTTTTTGGGGGGAGGTGATGTTAGCAAGCTTAAAGAAGAGAGTGGGAAGAAAAAGGGTGTATCGAGGACCAGTCCTTCAGCGCATAGGGTATACGGTGCTGTGGAATAGGGATAACCTACCGTGAGAGCAGTCGATCATGATCGCGGGCTTCTGGCCCTTCTTGAGTAGCGCCTCCTTAGCAGCCTGCACGCTGACCTTGTCGAAGTTGGTCCCCTTGGTGCCTCCGCGCAGGATCACGAAACCCTCGTCGTTGCCCTTGGTGCGGGTAATCGCCGCGAGACCCTGCTTCGTGACACCCATGAAGTGGTGCTTCGCCGCCGCGGCGCCAATGGCATCAATGGCGACGCCCAGGTTACCGTCGGTGCCGTTCTTGAAGCCGACGGGGAAGGACAGGCCGGAGGCCAGCTCCCTGTGGAGCTGGGACTCGGTGGTGCGGGCGCCGATGGCGCCGACGGAGATGAAGTCAGCGAGGAACTGGGGGGAGATGGTGTCGAGCATCTCGGTGGCGATGGGCATGCCGCTGGCGGTGAGGTCCTTGAAGAGCTGCCTGGAGACGCGGAGGCCCTTGTTGATCTGGAAGGTCTGGTCGATGTCCGGGTCGTTGATGAGGCCCTTCCAGCCGACGGTGGTGCGGGGCTTCTCGAGGTAGGCGCGCATGACGATGTGCAGGTCGGCGGAGAGGCGGGAGGAGACCTCGCGGAGGCGGGCGCAGTACTCGAGGGCGGTGGCGGGGTCGTGGATGGAGCAGGGGCCGACGATGATGAGGAGGCGGTCGGAGGTGCCGTGGATGATGGAGGCGGCGTCGCGGCGGCCGGTGACGACGGTGTTGAGGGCCTCGGGGGTCATGGGGATCTCGGAGGCGAGGAGGGCCGGCGGGATGAGGGGGTCCTGGCCGAGGACTTTAGGAGCGCCTTCGTTAGCATCGTGTTCGAAGAGGGCAAAATCAACGAGGGGCAGGGTAGAGCGAGCCCACAGCTCCTTCGTTACTCACCGCGGGTATCATCCGCCTGAAGCGGCGAGAAGTCGGAGTTAGACATGACTGTGGTGTGTGGAGGGAGTTGGTTGGCGTTGGTGGTATAACCCAAGGAACGGGTTGTAGTCGTTGGACGAGGTGTTCGAACTGTCCAAAACGAAGACGATGGTGGGGGTTTCGAAGTAACGGCTCCGCTTTTCGGAGTGTAAAAGGGTATCTGGTATATATGTAATATATGTATCGTACAGGAGGGAAGAATATAAAAAAGAAGAACAAAAAAGATGGCAACGGTTTGGTGTTTTTTTTCAAGGTTCGGACTAAAGGGGGAGGGGAGAGAGACGGCGCCGAGAGGTAATAATATAACTAAAGAGCTTGATCGATGTGAGTCAATGGGTCTGGACCAAGGGGAGGAGTGGGTGTTGATTTTTGGCGTGGGAGTACATACGGAAAACCGGGGCGGCGATTTTCTCTCTAAAAAAAAAAGTCGTTCGGAGGGAGCTCGGAGTGAGTAAGTTTGTACCCTACCACTACCAAGCAGGCGCAGATTGGGCGCTTGGAGAGGTATGAGTACAAGAGGCATGTATCACGAACCTGCAGGGACGGAGGTCTGGACGAGGACCCTAAACCCTCTTGATCGGGTGGCGGGCTACTTACTGCATGCCCACGTACTCCGTCAAGGGATCACATCCATATGGAAACGTTTCCTCGAGGTGGACTGGAGAAAAAGCGTGTACGAGTACATGGTCCATCTCTGAGCACGAGTATAACATGTACGAGTACAATTGGATCCCACCTGTCTCTACATAGCTACTCTAGAGGGTTATATTACTCGCGTAGCTATTCGCATATTATTAGCATTGTCGGGCCCTCCCAACCTCCGATCTTATGGGTCGTTCTTTGGGAATTAGGGAAAATGGATGTTGCCCGTCCTGCAACCAATACAACCTTCGACGACGAACCCGTGCATCTGTTTACTTTGCGGTTGGGTTGGGAAACGCAATACGCCAATTCGGTTTGTCCTCGGCGGGGTATAGTGGGATGCCTTTACCCCCCCTTGTGCCCTACAAGTACACCAACGGCAGCCATGGCGGGGTAACCATGTCACGGCGGGGTGGGACACACGATGCACGCGCATCCATCCCACCTTTGTCCACCCAATACCTCCTTTTGAGGTCTCACTGCGTCGCCTATTTATTCCACCTCTCCTTCTCACCGCCTCCAAAGTCGGGCTGGACCGGACTACTGAGTAGACCGGACCCCTGGTCCCGCATCATGTGGTGACCGCCCGGACTACTCGTACGAGTACTCCCCACTAATAATCACTTACTAGCACGAGTAGATACGGGAAAATACCGCGACAAGAGGATCTGCTTTTCGTCGAACGGCGCCGACCGACGGAGCTCCCCCCCCGGCGGCGGCGGTCATTCTTTTCTTCCAATCCGGTGGGCGGGAATGCTAATTGGGCATTCCGATTCGGTGTGATGGCAAGGTGCTTGGGCCCACGCCACCGCTCTCTCAATATGCTAAGCCCCCCAAACACCCGTTTTGAGTGGGTGTTCATTTTTAGCTTGTACTCGCACTTCAATCGCAGCTCATCTGGTGATTTAACCAATTTTGAACAAGCCTCGATAATATCATGTTAAGTGTCGGTTATACCTGCCTGCCCTAAAATAACAATTGATGATGGAGCCGTAGGTGTAGGTGGTGTGTGAGGAGGGTCTAATGAGTACGAGTGACCTGGTTCTTCACAGTCCGAGGTCCGCTCTGATAGGCAGGGCAGATGTATTTTAGGTGCTTCCATAGAGGCAGATACCTGGGTTCACGGCGTCGATCGTCGTCATCTCAGATGTCAGAACCTTTTTAATCGATTAGCAGCGGCCAAAGCGCGCCTCACCCACACGTGGTGGATCCCAGGAATCCCGGCCCACCGATATGACGTGAAGCATTACTGAAACCCAACACCTTTACAGTTTCAGCGACATGGCGAACGGACTAACTCATGGGGAGGAACGCAGCAAAATTCTTCGTGGATAGCCCTAGGAGGCCCAGTAAATCCACCTACGCAAAACCAAGTGGACGTACTGGGAGGACGTGAACCTCGGTGCTAGGATGCGAATGGAACAGACACGGCAGGTACCGTCGTCTTCTTAGACGAGGGGCCGCTGTGACCTCCATACCATACCCCCTTGGAGGGGAACATGATATTACTGCTCGAGGTCATCGTGGTGTTGTCTCCTCGGCATCTGGCCGGCAGTATATTCCTGCGTTGCTGACGCCCTGCCCACC